TAGAGCGAACCTGATGGGGAGATTCCCGCCTCGGCCGTGTGAAACAAATGGCACCTCTCCTTCGTCGACCTTTTGTTCAGACAAAGTAGCACAGCGCTTCTTCAAACATGGGATGTTTGCCTTTCGCTAGCAGATGAAATCTCTCGGTTGTCTGGTTCCGATTACAGTAACAATTACGCCATCAATTTACCTGTGAAACGACGTCAAATTTGGTCTCGCAATATTCATCAAATGCCGTATCTTCCGCTGTATCTATGGAAAAGTAACACACTCGGAGATTGATTGACTCCGGCTTCTCAATCTCCCTCTCAAATCGTGCCCGATGGCCATACGAGCCACCGATGCCGTCGGATGTTCCCGAGCCGCCACTCCGATGGGATCGTTGACTGATATTCTCCCGCGGCTCCACGGGTCGGCTAAGTGAAGGCATGTCTCGCGGCACGGCCCGCTTTTGGTCCGCGATACGCTGCTGTGATGAAACGCAGTCTCGGTTATTGTCCGGGCCGAAGTGGCCGCGTTGAAGTTTCCGTCGCCAGACGCCGCCGAACCTTGCGGTCTGTGCCGCCGAGGGTCTCGAAATGGCCGCCGTGCCCTCGGCTCCCAGCCACTCTACTGGCCTTTGTTGACGCGGGCCACCCCAGTGCATTTGAGAGCGCTTGCCACAATGCGTTGGGGAGAAGAGCCACCGCAGCCGGCAGGAGAGAGCGGAGGCCTCTCCTGCCTCGGCCGCGTGTGTCAAGGGTTGTCATTGTGCGCGGCGCTCTGTTTACCGCTGGTCTCGGGCGGCCGGTTCGCCGGATCGCTCTAAATTGCCCTCTTTCTTGCGCCATTGAACATCGGAGGCTCTGTTTCCAGAACACAATAGAGAGACCCCCTCTCAGGGCTCGTGTTCGGGCTTCTGTCCAGAAATCCTCTGTTCGGGCTCGCAGACACAGACAGTCGTCCAGGCGTAACGCAATCAGCGGATCAACGCTAGGCGGGACCACCACTCAATCCTCCAACTATTGGCGCAAGGATCTGAGTGTGGACACTTCCGCGTGGAGGTCAAGGATACGCCCGCGGCGGTGTGTTCAGCCAAGCGCATCAGACGAATCCTGCGGTGAGGGCAACCCCTGTCGTTCACCGGCGCCCGCCGGCAATATGCTGATGCGGTTATCATATTACCTTAGTTAGAATCTGAAAATCAGTTGGAATGGCGCTGTCTCTTATTCTGAAAAATATGTTTTCGAAACAAAGCACGTTGGGGCACTCATCGCATATCAGAATTATTGCGCATGCGTGTTGGATGGTTTCGCTTTGGAATGAAATTTTCCAGCATTTCTGAAGTGTCTACCATACTCTACGTTACCGTGAGAAAACCGATTAAGAGCAGGCTTTTAGTGTCGCTTCATTTATCGGTGCTCTCAAAATTTGATGCATTTTACTTAATTTTATTTAACTCATACCGGCGTGGCTATGGGAGTGTCACCAAAAGTGGTGCGATCTCACTCAAACCCGCGCAGAATCGTTGTCATCACCACCCCGCGACACATGCGAGACGCATTCGCGTCGTGCGTTCCTAATCACGGAAGAAAAAAATGAATGCAAATCATGTCGTTCCAATAACGTGGCAATTCATCACGTCGCCAATAAGCGTGTCGTGACAGGAACCATTACTGTAGCGGGACGTTGGCCGGTGGCCAATACGACGGCGCTCTTCGGTGGATGCCGTGGTGGGCTTCTGATCAGATTGGGGGCATGTGAAGTCCGTTGGATGTATTTTCCTTCACAGTGAAAATGCTTACAGATGGTAAAGGTGAGGCACGCAGTAACCAACGATATTTCGCTATCATTGCTGAATTTGACCGCAAAACAACGTGGAGGATTCGTCGTTTTGTTTTTACAAAGGATGCGTTGTGGTATGGGATAGCACATAGCACAACGCATTGCAACGCAGTGCCAGGGGTGCATCGCGCCATGGAAACGTAAGCTTTACTGAATGTAGTTCTTGTGGTTACATCTCATTTACTTAAATGAAATATACGGCAAGCTTCCTATCGCAGAACCAACCTGTGTTCTCTAAATGGTGGCGATCATGTCTTAAGTACGCATGATGCCAACTCTGTTTTTTGTTTTGCATTTTCCGGAGGAAGCTAATTGTTGCAATGCCTGCGCATCCGAGTCAAAGTGAGACCAATGAGGATACAAACGTGAGTCTGTGCCACATACATCGTGGTTTAAGCATGAAAAGGTCTGAACCGTGGTGGCAATGGTTCAGTTCTCTGACATGAGATAAGCCAATGCTTTGATATCACTTCCAATACTCATGATTCCAATATTCATGTTAACACAGAACCAGATGATATGCAGCGCTATGGGAGTTTTGCTAAATCTGCCAGATCAAGGCAAGTCTTCGGCACGACACATTTTATGCGACAGATATACCGCGAAATGTTTTGAATGATATATATATATATATATATATATATATATATATATATATATATACATTCATCCTGTTTAGTATTGCTTTCCAATGTGTGGTCAAGTCGTCATTCCCGTGAAGACAGTCAGTATGTAAATCGATGACTCTAGCCGCTCTCAAGCCAAAACATTAGCTATACGTGCGGGCCCTACGTCGCAAATATGCAAGAATGCAAAAAGACGCGATTTGTGATGCCCCTCAAGGCATGGGGGCCGCAGGATTACTTGAGCCTCCCGAGAGTATGTCACTGAAGCGGCCCCGCTTACCTGGCGTGCGGCTGTGAGGAAGTTGCGTGCCTGCCTTCACACGAAACTGCCGAGAGAACAGACGCAGTCATGGCCAAACGTCCACATGCAATTGTTATTACCGACATAATGACTCGCATGGCTCAGACAAGCCCACTGTTTTAAATATGTCACGTTCATGTATATCTGTTACGTGACTTAGAGGTTGTTGATGTCGTGCCTAGGGTGCTCTTTTTGCATGCCTTCCTAATCATTCAACCACATGCATGTAGCATGCGTGCTCCAATTTTTTATCTGGACCTTTGAGACTGTTGACCTGGCCGGGCTAGCTTCGCCCCGTCGCTCCGTGCTACCTCGAGGATTGTGGATTGTTGGTGTAGCAGCGGGCGGAGCTTGTCGACCACGTCTCACCCATAGTGCCGGTGCTACCCTTCAGTGTGACGCTGCGTCCCGTCCACTGCGCTCCCGCCCCCGGTGCCGGAGTCTGGTCATCGCGTCATCGAGTCATCGCGAGTCCTCTGTCGTCTTGCGGCGGCCGTTGCCTTCTCTGACCGTGCCTGGGATGCCGCTGTCCAGTGTGCCGCTGTGCGGTCGTGGCTTTGCTGCCTTGCTGCCCCTGTCCTGTGTGTTCCCGTCCGACCGCCGGTGCGGCGCGCGTGGTGCGCGTCTTGCTTCCTCGGACCCGGAGCGGCCGCCGTGCGCCAGTCCATCGCCCGGCGCCGCCGACGGGGAGCCGACATTAGCATGCTGAATTCATTACGGCCCCGTCCGATGTTTACCCGTGCCGCTGCGGCGAGTGTGAGGAGAAATTTGGAAACAGTACCTCTAATGTCGGACACAAACAGCGTGCGGGCCTGGAATAGTAATTGGGACGGCGCCGGACGACTCGGGGCCGCTTATTTTCCCGTCGACGCATCCTTCTGCCGGCTGATGACCGAAAACGACGGACATTTGCTTATGTTCCGCAGGTGCAGAAAAGTATGCACACTGCTTACATTCACAATGCGATGTTGACACGGTGAGTTCATTCAGGTCGAAATTCTGCTGACTTTGCTGTGTGTCAGTCATGTCCCCAAGTCACCGGACACTAGGGTGGTACCTAAAATGAGCTTTGCCAATGCTGAGTATTTGACACATTCCACTGTCAACTGTGAAGTCCCTCCCAAGCGGGCCAACACTGGCTTTAACATGCTAGGTTTCGTCTCGATAGGGCCGTGTGCATCGGCAAAGACATGTTCACGTGACAAGAGGTCAATAATGGCCGCAAAATTTTCATACGTTTGTTAACTGCAGACGACAACGAACTCATCTTTATCGCGTGCTATTAATTCATTCCATGCATGGACCGGGCATACTTCACGGAGGTCACGTCCACAATCAAAGGCAGACTGCGGGCACACTGTCGGGTAGAGACAGACGCTGGCGTTCAGCCTGAAAACGCCCTCGGATAACGCTAATGACGATGATGATGATGACACTGACTTCGGCTTTCAGTCGCCCAAGCGCTCGGTCATGCGGTGCCCTGATGATAGGCACGATTTCTGCGTTTTCTGGCACGCGATGTGTGCGCTGTTTTCACGGCTCCAGCGACCTCGTCATCCGTCGAAATGAGCGGCCGTCGCCGCCGGTCTCTTGCGCGCAATAGCGGCCTCATCTTCCCGACACGTCGTGTCGTAAATCGGCGCCTCTCACGCAGCAGCGCTGCGGACGTCCATAGCGCTCTTGTGGTGGGGGCGCCACGTCGGGGGACGATTGGTCCACCGCTGCCGCTGCTCCTGTTCTCACGTGGCTTTCGCTCGTCGCTGACCGAACGGGCCCGTGTATATATGTGTGTGTGTGTGTGTGTATGTGTGTGTGTGTGTGTGTGTGTGTGTGTGTGTGTGTGTGTGTGTGTGTGTGTGTGTGTGTGTGTGCGTGTGTGTGTGTGTGTGTGTGTGTGTGTGTGTGTGTGTGTGTGTGTGTGTCTGTGTCCGTGTGTGTGACGGTGACCTGTGCTAACATGCGCTTTCCGTGCGCCGCAGGCCGGGTGTGTGTGTGTTGTGTGTGTGTGTGTGTGTGTGTGTGTGTGTGTGTGTGTGTGTGTGTGTGTGTGTGTGTGTGTGTGTGTGTATGTGTGTGTGTGTGTGTGTGTGTGTGTGTGTGTGTGTGTGTGTGCGTGTGTGTGACGGTGACCTGTGCTGACATGCGCTCTCTGTGCGCCGCAGGCCGGGTGTGTGTGTGTGTGTTGTGTGCGTGTGTGTACGTGTGTGTGACGGTGACCTGTGCTGACATGCGCTCTCTGTGCGCCACAGGCCGGGTGAACTGAGCCTGCCGAGCCCGGACGCTGCCTTCATGCTGCGACCGGCGCCGAGCCAGCAGGGCCTGCCGCCGGCCGGCGCCGCGCGGCCGCCGGCGGCCCCCGCCGCCGTCAGTCCGCCGCCCAAACACGGCCCGCTTACAGAGGTCAGTCCTGCGGCGCATGGTCGCCTCGCCAAGCTCGTGCTGCACGCGGCCTGCCGACTCCGGCGGGTCCTGTGCCGTACCCGGTGCTGGGTCTGCATAGTAGGCGCCATATCGGTTTACGGAACGTGGTGAGCTCGTTGTCAGAATTGGCGCCGAGTCTGGAGAGTACATGCTACACACGGCTTACTAACCGGGGCTGGAGGTCACGTGGTAGAGCAGGAATTTGCTACAGGCAGTTTGTGGTGAATACGACCCAGGTACCGATGTTACACCCAAACCCGGCGTCTGTTTGGTGAATTTGGGTATAACACAGCTGCCCGCTGGAATAAGCCCCAGGCGACGCCAATTCCAATGTCAGGTGGGTACTAGTTTGGTCTTTAACAGAACCTGCAGACCGCAAACGCTGCCAAGCCTGCACCGCCTCCAGCAAGTTACGACAATAGCTTTACTGACCCTGAACAGTGCACTACAGTAATTTTACTCCCCAACATTCGCACTCGTAAATTACACGTGAATACCTGTGTGAAGGCAGCTGCAGTTTATTTGATATGGGAAGCCATAATCGCCATACCATGCCAAGCGGGCATCAAAGAACCGTTCTCTCTCCCAGCCAATTTCATTTCGTCACCGGGCAAGAACTGCACGCCTATTCAAGCGCGTCTGCGCGCCAACGCCCGATCTGGAAGCGAGCCTCTCGCCGCGGCTCCGTGTCCGATGCGGGCGGCTGCCTCTCAGCGGGGGCCGGATCGGTCAAAAGCTACCGCGGCCGTGCTTTCACGGGCGTCCGTCTTCCCTGCTGATTATCCCGACGGGCTGTTCGTGAACGCCTGCGTGTACTCGGCGAGGCCGCCACTCGAGCGGCAACCGGGTCAGCGCGGCACGCTTCGAGGCGAGGTCAGCGCGGCTCTCACGCCACCGCCGGGCCGGGGCGACTCCGAGCTGCACGCAAAACGCCACCGCGCCGGCGGCTGTCGGCACCCGATGGCGACCGGCCTGTCTCACTGGGGCGCCCCCTGTTTGACCCAGCATCGCGCCGGGCGTCGCGAGTCTACCACGACGACCGTCCACCAAAGTCGCCCAGGAATAATTATTGAGTTATTAGGAAATAAGAATCGAGGCCTTCCACCAGCTTGTCCCCTGCCGGACATTTGCGGGACAGGCTCCGCCCCGTGCCCTCCTGGTCGGGCGTCGCTCCGGCTCAGGTCATCAGAGAGCGAACAGGGCGGTGGCGCCGATGGCCAAGTTTCACCGGGGCGGCGCGTGGCGGCGGCCGGTCCGATGTCGGCCCATTATCATATGATCGGCGGGCGGCGGCGGCCGCGGGCGGAGGAGGATCGCCTCAGCGAGCGGCCTCCCTGCGGCGGCAGGAAAGCGCCATCGGTAATTCATAGCAGTTTGGACGTGACCTCCGCTGACCCCCGGCCGCTCCAGGCCTACCGTGCACCGTCGCCAGATCCGCAAGGCGGAGCTCAAGTGCGAATACGTCAGCAGAAAGGCGGCGGTACCGTTGCTAGGCGCCTTGTATGCTGGGATCTTGATGTTTTTGTGAAAAACCCACCAGTGTGAAGGCTCGTGCGGAACCTTAATCCACGCATGCCTTGCGTAATATGAATAAAGTGATAATTGGTCCCATTTCACCGCCTTGAATTTCACCGATTTGGCAAAAATTGCTGCCGATTCTGCTAATATTGACGCATCTTCGAACGCTTGGGTAACATTCGGGCGAGCAGGGTCAAGGTGAAAACGCTCCGAGAGCTTGATCAGTCACAATAGATGGCGACGATGACCGGGTCCTCTGGTCCCGCATGGTCACGCAGCCTGTGCGCCCTCCTCAGACAGCGGGTCCCGCTCCACCACCAGCAGCTCGCGTCCCCAAAGGCAACAGAGGCTTGGCTCCGGTTCCCCTGACAACGGGTCTTGACAGATTTAACACCGAGAGCCTTGAGGGACAGCTTTTAATAGGCCATTGGCCACCGAAACGCGTTCCAGAATGGTGGGGTGCGGCTTAAGCGTTCAATGAACTCAGTCAGCGTCGTTTAGTAAGCATACCGAACACTTCAGCACATAAAGGGCTTATCAGGCATGTTCACAAATTTCCACGAACTATACCAACACAGAATCAAACGCAACCTTTGTGCAATTTATCGCTTTGGATTACGGCGCAAAGATGGCATGACATTCCACCAGCTTCAAATCAACTTTATTTCCGCCATTTACACAGGTTATAATGACCACTGTCATCAAAACGGCTCGGTTGCTTGCCAGCGTCAGTTGTCCAGGAGCCACCAACGTGCCCGCCGCTGCCCACCCCATCCACTGCCGATGTATTCACTGTTCCTGGGTCCCGTTATCGGACCGACACCGTTTTGGGTACCTGCATGCGGGCCGCTTCGTCTGAGACTGGCTTTGCTGAGAGGCGCGGGACATCTCGCCTGCCCGGTGACTTCTGCGCGCCGAACCTGCCAACCAGTCGTATGTACCGCCTACACAGAGAGCTGCGTGGCAGCCTTCGCAGTTGTGATGGACGTTTCCCTGGGTGCTCGCCGCGCGCTGGCTGTTGCTGTGGATGCGTGGGGGGGGGGGGGGGCGGCGCAAGTCCGTGGGCACTGGCTGCGCTCTGACTGGTGCTGTGGATGCGCGGGGGCGGCGCGGGACTGTGGGTACTGGCCGTGTGCTGGCTGGTGCTGTGCATGCGTGGAGGGGGCAGAACGGGTCTGTGGGTGCTGGCCGTGTGCGGATTGATGCTGTGGGGGCGGGAGGGAGGGGGCGGATGGGAGGGGGCGGAGCGGGTCTTGACTCTGTGCGCAGCGCTGCGAAGTAAGCACTAAACATTTCAACCGGAATACTTCCGTGGCCCCAGATGAGCTTCACGGGCACAGGATGACGTGGAGATGCGGTACGCTTTGAGACTCGTGCGCTCTCTAAACGCGCCCACACCATCGACAACTAATCATCGTTATGATTTGCATACCAATTACGGTTTGCCCTGATGAATGAGGACGGGGACTGCGGCCCCCTCACTAGATGGCAGCAGGTGTCGGTTTTCTGCCTGTCTGGTGCGGAAGCTTGCACCTGTCCTCCGGCTACCGTCCGTCTGGAGCGCTGAGACCGTTCGAAACACATCGTGTCTGCGCTTGAGGTAGCTGTTCTGCTGCCAGCTCCCTCAGGTGATGCTCCGAGGCTGGTTTTGACTGGAATTTGTCCCGAGGCTCGCGTCCATTTCCCATTACGGAGCAGGCTGCTCAGAACTCGTTCGGTTTATATCAGCTTTATGGTGGCATATTGTGGGTCTGGCCGCCGAACTGTTTCTATATGGCAGTGCAACGAGGAGTAGTAAAGATCAAGAAGAAGCCCAGCTGAGAGCTTAAAGAGGAGCAATGGTCCGGGTTAGGTCGTGGCTTGTGTCGGGAAATCTTCCCTTATGTAATTACTTTCTTATGTCCAACTAATATAAAGCTTCATATGGGGATCTGATGCATGAGGTTTGTACTTGCGTTTCGCTACAGTGCTTTAAATAAATGTTATTCGATTACGGAAATACTTTGTCTTCATCACGGTGGAAGCTGTTTAATATTTTTGACCGTTTGTGGCAGTGATAATAACTGAACCAACGGCAAGGATAGACATTTTTCTTTCTTGTGCTTTCATAGGCATCGTTACATTTTGTAAGCATGAGGATGACCAAAAGTTTTTGTCAGACGAGAGTTATTTCTATAAACGTCTTGTTCCAGTCGTTAGCTGCTATCATTGATATATTCAACAGAGTTGGGAAGGATATTTACTCAGCATTTACTGGATGTAGGGTATCAATAAACGACGGCTAAATCAAATTAATTTGTATTGCTGCTGGCATTCATGTTTATAAAAACTCCATTTGGCATGCATGCACTCAAATACCGATAATTATTGCTGCAGTTGCAAACGGTGGTACGTGCTGATTAAACTGGATGGAACTTTTTCTAGAGCCCATTGGACATGTCCAATCATTTGCGGGACCATCGGGTACAACTGATAAATTACAATCAGGATAATCCTGTAACCAGTTTGCCATAGCCAGAGCTGCATCTGGTTGAGGTCCCCTGGGTATTTCCGCCGTACAGACGGGTGCTGTCAGTGCGGGTGAGCCTGGGAGGTGCCTCCGTCCGAGCTCATACCACCCTCTACCCGCCGCTGCAACTGAAACATTGTGAGATCCCCGAGCCGGAGGCGTGAAAAAAAACCGTGATGCTGTGTGGGAAGGTTAAGAGAACAGCTGGGTAGCAGCCATCGATTTATAAATTTACGGTGCCATGTCGTGGTCTGCATTAATTTTGGCACCGGTTATCAGTTGGTGAATATGCACCGTCATGCCGCGCTGCGGTGAAAATCTTAGCTAGCCTGATCATCGTTACTCCACATCAACAAACATCGAATGTCTTCAAAGGCCACATTCATGTACATCTTCCAACACCAGACTAGCTGATGCTATTTGTCTTCACAAACGGTGGAATGTGCCTGATGAGCTTTACGAACAATTTGGGCGGGGACCTGCCTCAATTACCGTCCCAAACCTGACATTGGAATGGCCGGCGTGTGCTGCCATCTATCCAGAGAACGCCAAACTAGGGGTGAACACGCTGCTGAGACGCGGTGGAGTAAAGACGCGCGCTACCTTGGCTCCCGCCTGCTGCTGCATCATGTGAGTAGAAACGGACGATAGGGTGCTAGCATGCTGTGTGTGATACCTGTGTCGTTGATTTGGGGGTGAAAGGCCTTGACAAGTTCAGTTTGCAGCCTGCTTTTGACGCGTAGAGTACCTGCTGCCATGGCACATGCACAGCGCTCAATGGTTCCGAACAGAAGCCCGTACGTAACTCACTTCCATACGTCAGGCTCTGCTTCAAGCTTTGCGTCAGTGCAAGTAAAATCACCCGAATTAAATGGGGGGATTGCATGGTGCAGACATGTTGAAGACGCAAGCATCTAATCAGTACTGCGATCTTCTTGACCCGTTTCCTCAT